ACTATAACAATTTTTTTTTCTTATTTTGATAGAACAATTAATTTTTTTTAAATAACTATAAATTTATAAAACCAGTCAAAATTAATTAAATACACTTAACAAACATTGTAAAAAGCTTCCAACAAAAGTTGATAATGCAATTGTTTGCTTTCCAGTTTCCAGTGCTAAAAATGAAGGCACTGCCCTTCATTCAGTTGCACCTTCCGGATCCCTTTCCCATCCCCTATACAGATTGAATTATTCGAATTAGAGGAAATGTTTCCAGAAACAATGAGATATCAATGAAACGCTTTTACATGGAAACAAATAAAAGCTAAAAAAATCTTTGCAGTAAGGCTGAAAAGTCAAAACCAACCAATCCGCATACGCATTTGCCTCTCAAAATGACGAACTAGAAGGAAAGGACAACAATCCATTCTATATTCAACAAAATTCTCTAACTTCCTACTTCAGCAATTAACTGATCAACTAGGACTTGGCTCTTAATTGTTTGCATGATAAAAAAAGAAAGAGTATGTTCCCAAAGACTTCTAGCATCCTCTCATTCATGCATGCTGCATTCTTTTACGGATGGCATGTCGATTAGTAAGAATAAGTGAGGATAACCTGGGAGAGGAAGATGGTCAAGAAACTCCTTGTGCAAACACTGTTTTGTTTTTGACAAAGCAAAGGATACATTAAATCATATAAATGTGCACCTAGTTCCTGTGGCTTCTGACAACAAAATCAGCAATGAGCTGATCATACACAAAACAGGATAAGTTTTTTCACGCTTTGTACATAAAATTTGACCATTTAACAAATAGGTTTTCATAAGGCCAAGTAAAAAAAAGGGGGTCTTCATATTTCATATGGATCAGACAGGTGAGTTGTTATGATCCAATAATCACCAAATCAGGATTGGAGTACAAAAGGAAATGACTGTAGCATGGAACCTTACTTTGAAGGAAGAAACCACATGCATCGAGCAGCATTTTCACACACCACAAAACTACCTGGATTGATGGTAATGCTTTTGGTGCAATTATCAGTTTTGTAGATCCCAACAAGTCGGTCAGTCAATTCAAACATGTTATCCCTAAGGCTGCAAGGAAATCAAGGAATTACAGAGAAAACAGATTCAGCACATGCAGTAAGTAACTAGCAATGAAAAAGAAAGACCTTGAGAGACCAAACATACACATTATTATAAACTGTGCATCTTTTGTTCGGTCCTTCACTTAATGGCCAACTATAGAAACATTCTTGAAGTCTGAAACACCATAGCAACCAATAAATTTTGGTGACTGAGGATAGAAGAAGGGAAATATACACATATATTATAAGAAAAAGGAAAAGAAAATGGTTCATGGTTCAAAAAGTGTACCAAGAGCTGCATCAATTTCGTCCATGACATAGAGTAGGGTGGGCTTGTAACGGTGAAGAGCAAAAACAAGTGCTAATGAGCTAAGAGTCTGCAAGCAGTAACGACATACATGTTAATAACCCAGAATTTAAAGTACAATAAAGAAGAAGGATCAGGGAAAGCACGTTTTGCATTAACAAACGGACTGCCAATGACAAGGACAATAACCTTTTGCACCACCGGATAAGATAGCAATATTCTTCCAGCTCTTCTTTGTGGTCTGACACTGAAAACAACACCTT